GGAGACAGCAGAGCTCTGGGCAATAAAGAAGATTTGTTTGACTTTTTTTCACTTTGTTGTGGTCCTACTTTCCTCCGCTCTTGTCTCTGATTGTGAGTGTGTTCATTCATGTGTGTGTGTGCGGAGCCCCGCCCTTCAGAAACAGAGCGGAGGGAGAATGTGAATACGCAAGGCAGTGGACAGTGAAACATGCACATTGGATAAATAACATGGCGTTTAATTTATTTAATAAAAGAGCACATGTTCAATGTGAAACGTGACCGTAGATAGATTACTTCAGTTGCAATTTGGTGCTACATATATATATTTTTTAAATAATAAAAAAAACAAAAAAAACACCTTGAATTTCAGGCAGGGCATGGGGCTCCGTTGGCAGGGCGCAGCGCCCCGCCAAGACAATGGTAGGGGAAACACTGATCTGAATTCAGTGTGCAGTTTACTTTGTGCAGAGGTGTGGAGAGGCGGGGCTATTGCGTCATCATTATCAGACAATGATCGTATGGGGTGCACACACGGAGCCTTTGGACCCCCCAGAGCGTTGCGTATGCCGTTCTATCCACCTTGGGACCCATTATAGTTTCCGCAGTTGTTTACTGTCATATTCGGTCGTCCTCGTTTGGCCGAACGGTCTATCTATACAGATGTAGTGATTCATTTCAGACAGTTTGAAACGCGAGGGCCGTGATTGGTACGTGATCTGCCCTCGCTCAAGGGAAAACCTCCAGCTTGACTTGAGACCGCCCCCGTGATAGATAAATGTAATTATAATGAAGCCAGCTGCAATGGATCATTGATCCACCAGGGGGTGCAGTGGGGTTCCACACTGGAGCTCATGTGAAATAAAGTCAGATACAGTACGCTGGATGTACAGCGGAACTTTGTTAAGATCCATATGTCACGGATATCATACTACTGTGCTAAATAAGAGACATGTAATCATTTACAAAACATCACCATGTTGTTCAGTAGTATGATATCCGTGACATATGGATCTTAACAAAGTTCCGCTGTACATNTATCAACGTCAAGTACACAGTGAATTATATTATTATTAATAGAGATACTCTTAACTCCAGCTACACGCTTGCTGGGATCCCCGCTCAATGGCATAAAATCAAAATGTGCAAGTAAACGTATAGCCCTAGCATGCCTTTCAACTAAACGCCTCGTTCTTATGAACTGGAAAGCCAGAAAGCCCAACTGCTTCAATTTAAATAGATTGCTGGAGGACTCCCTAAACATCTTAAGTATGGAAGAAGCTGCTTTCTCCCTGTTATATTTGGTTAAGCCAGACAACAGGCTTTGGGATAAGATAAGGGCCGACTCAAACCATCTCGGCTGCGAACAATAAATATAATGATTATAATAATATTAATAAATAAATATAAATAAAGAGAAATAAGCTATGAAGAAACAGAACAAGAATGGTAATAATAATGAAAGAAGTGAAATTAAATGGATGAATAGGTGAATTAATCAGAAAAGGAAGAGATGTGTATGTGTGTGTGTGTGTGTGTATATATATATCTATTTATTTATTTTACTATTTATTTACTGTATCTATTATACTTCTTCTTTTTTTTTGCCTTATAATAATAATAATGAGGAAACAATGAAGTATAGTTAAAGTTAAAGTTAAAGCCTTTTATTGTCATTATACACAGAGTATAATGAGATTCAGAGTGCAACTCTGTCTCGGTGTGCAAAAAATACAAACACATACGTATATCTATATTATGAAGCAAATCATGTATAAATACAACGCCATATGCATACATAAAATGTAACTGACACTGTAATCCTCCTACCGCCCCACCCTTCATGTCATTGTCCTGTCCTATTTGTGATGTGTGTGAGCCATGTCCTTGTCTGTATGTCTTTGTCTTTGAAAATGTTTAATACAATATAAATGTTATAATAATACAAAAAAAAGTACACAGTGAATTATTTCACAATGCTGGCTTGACTCTATAATGGCACAATATGATACAGTATAAGAAAAGGGAGACATGTCACTTGT